TTCCTGCTGGTCTCCACGTAAGCAGGCTTCACAGAGAAAGAGAGAAAATATCATAAATCCATTTATCTCGACTCCACATACTGTATCCATTTTTTGTTTGAGCTAACTTACACGTGAGGAATGGTGGTTTTGAAGATTTCCAGCATACAATTGCATGTTTGGTCCCAAACTTCAGGACTGAATTTTTCTCCATTTAGTATTACCAAGTTTTCTAGACAATTGGTACCTGATCGAGCCAGCTGTTCATTATCTGTAAATAAATTACCCTTATTTATTAGATTCTACAAGCCTGCCTGATAAAACAATAAGAACTAAAACATTCACTAACAGTTGTGCACATTTTATAATGTGAAGACTTGGTACAAGCAACAGTTCCACCAATAGCTCAAAGCCTACCAAACTGCAGTCATAATGAATGTGCATTATAATACTGCTAAGAGTAAAGCTCTTTTGTACCAAATGGGAGATAAAGGTAGTAAGAATTCCAACCTTGAGAAGACAGGATTCAAGGGACAAAAAGGGTGGCAAAGAAAGAGGCTGAGATATGAAGCCTCTTGTCTTGGTCACAGAACAGATTAATGGCAGAGCTGGGAATAAAGTCCAGGACACTATACTGGATGGAGGTCAGGAGATCAAACAGACTTAACTCTTCCCATGTATGTAGGTTAAGGACAAAAATTTAAAAGTTCAAAATTACTTCCGCCCTCCTAGCCACCTACAAACATTCCATGTTAGTAGTTTACACAAGAACTTAAAAAAATGACATACATAGGAGTTGAATGATTTAGATAAATAGTTACATAAGAGTAACTTTCTAGGATGCTGTATACAGACTATTGGGGTTACTTTCAAATTGTAAGAGAATGAAGTACTTTGTTCATCCAGCCAAGGATGAAAAACTAGTTTTTGACAAAAGAAAAAAAGCTAAATGGCGGAGTGTCAACATAATTCATGACAGAGCAAAATGAAGTCAAGCTCCAAATATCACCATGCTCAGCAAAACAAGAAACATTCACAGGAAAGGCTAATTAACTAAATGGCATGAAGGAATTATCCTTGGAAACGAGTTATTCATGGATATATAAATAGTGCTTTGTTTTTCCTGCTTTCATTTCTTTGAGAAGAGGCTAACATATTTATAAAAGGTTTATCAAATTAACACCACACATATGTATGTGAATAAGCTACCTTGTTTTACACACCAGTGTAACTGTGCAAATATATCAGGAAGAAGGATCTCATTTAAAGCTTCATAGAACTGTGTAAATACATCACAGATTGCGTAAAGTGCATGGTTACATGTAGTTGTCATCCATTCAGATTTCTGTAAGAAATGAGAGGCTTTTAATTTCTTTGTGGTACAAAGTGAATGGAGAGAACAGGTTCTGATAAAGCAGGGGCAGGCAATTATTTCAGGTGGAGGGCCACTTAATGAGGTTTGGTGAGAGCTTGAGGACCACATGGATAGTCCTGCCCCTTGATAGTTACCCCGCCCCCCCTTGTTGTCATCTTGGGACAAGTCCCACTCCTAACCCAGACCCTTGCCAACTGAAGTCCCTCCCCTTGCTCCCCAGAAATACTCCTTTTAGGAGGGGGGGTTGCCATCTTAGAACCAGAAAAAAAACAAACAAATCATGCATTAAAAGTCAAACATCTACTACAACATTTTAATTTTGTTACAAAAAAATATTTGTCATTTGTTTGCGTAATGTATATAGGAGGTGATTGCATAATAACTCAAAAATAAATTCTTAGTCTTGTATTGTCTGTGGGTGGATGTGTGTGTGGGGGATGCTATTAGGGCAGGGTGTGGGTGTGTGGCATTTGTGGGGTGTGAGGGATGGTGGGGCGGTATGTGGGGACCCCCTGTACAGTCCCCCCATGGCGCAGCAGCAGCAGGCAGGAGGTGCTCGAGCCTGGTGCAGGCGCTGTTGCCCGGTGGCGTGCAGCTCTTGCCAGTGGTGCACATTGCAGTGAGGGGGGCAGCCTGCTCAGGCTGCCTCTATCGCCAGCACTCCCCACCATGCACGCACAGCCCCCACTCATGTGCCACAAGAGGAAAGCCCCAGGCACTGGAGCAGGCTGCCTTCACCGGTCCCTGCTGCACAGGTCCCAGGACTCCACAGGGAAGTAGGGGTCAGGGCTCCTCTCCACTTCCGGCGGAGTCCCAGGACTTGCACAGCAGGGAGCAGTGAAGGCAGCTGACGCCAGTGCATGGAGCTTCCCTCCAGTGGCGCGTAAGTGCAGGGACTGCGTGTGCACAGTGGAGAGTGCCGATTCAAGGGGGAACAGGCAAATCTCAGATGACATGGTGGAGAATGAATACCTATGATACCACTGCCTATGCTGAGCTAGGTCTTTAGCTGTCAGATTTCTAAGGCCAAAAAACTGTCCTCAGAAGACCTTTGTTACCTCAGTTTGTTGCTCAGGGAGTTTCATATTGTCAAAAATCCTAAACACAATTCGGAAGAGATCTTGCCACCAGTGTTTTTCAAAGGTATGCCCGTAGCTCTTCATTATTTCAAACATCACCGTCAGACCTCTACGAGAAGAAGAAAACAATAAAAAGCATAAAGGCTCAAATGGGGGCCTCTGTTCATTCAAATAACTGAATACACCCAAAAGGCAAAATATTCTTATTACCTTGTCCGAACATCTAATTTACATCTATTAATGATGCAAGATAGTTCAAATAAGATAGGGAACCATCCTCTGACCCAGACCCTGTCTCCAGGAGCAACATTCATGTCATCACTTGTGTATTCTCTTAATACCTAAGAAATATTGGGGTAGGCAGCAAGAAAAAAAAAAAAGTCATCTTTAAAAATGCACCTTTAGAGACTATTTTAAATCAGAGCTTAAAATCTTTAAAAAGAGCTTAGAAGTTAAAAGCTGAATTATTAGTTAGGTGTGCAATAAGGTATTTGGATTTATCATTTCAGTATGTTCACTGTTCTAATTATATCCACAAATACTGTTAAAGACTCATTTTAGCTCCATTCCTCATCTAGCTTTAAAAAAAACCCTATTTTTTTGGTATACAATGGAATCAAATTTCAGATGGACTCCTGAACTGCACCTGCCTTCACATAATTTGTGCAAGTCGTTTTATGTTTTGCTTGTGCAGTTACATAGATATTGGATGCATATCTTGCAAGTGTAATTAATACTTCAGGATCTTTTTAACAAAATTATTGCCATATTGCATATTCCTGCAATAAGACCTCCACAAACAACAATTTAAGCTTCTACCCAGTGTATTAAAAGGCATAAAAATAATGAAACATGAAATTTAGCTTGCAATAATCCACATTTGGAATCAAATTTCATATTTTCTGAATTGTCATAAAGTTGCAAGAGTCAGCTTAAATTACATTGGTTTCAACCACACAAAGCTGAAACCAAAAGTTTCATCATTTTTCAAAAGGGGGCAACAAACTAGTACCAGCATACCACCTTTAATATTAAACTGGCATCTACTTTTAGGTAACCATTTTCACATACGCACTGTTAGACTCAAGTCTGAGTTTAAAAACAATTTTTCATTTCACAGTAATTTTGGTTTAGCATTAAAAGATACTAGAAAAACATGAAAGCAGAGCATAAATTACCTGTGGTCTTTCTGAAACATATTTAGCACAATAACGAATAAGTCTGATGGCTTCCATGCTAGTGTCAGGAAATGCTACATTACAGGCAAATTCAGATAAACATTTTACCGCATCCTGAAATGAATCTATTGCTGCTGGAAAATGTTGCTGAAAAATATTTGCTGGGGAAAACAGAAGAGAAAGAAACAGAATATTAATATTTAAAAGGTGTCTTTTATGACTGCTTCTTTGTCATAGCTTCATTAAATCTAAGTTTTCCTGAAGCCAGTTACTTATTAAAATACTTCCAGAGTATTAAACATGTGCTTCAATTTAAAGCTTTATATCAATTTTCTTGTTCTAAGTCAAATGGCCTTCAAAGCCCTCAGACGATGCAGTAAGAGAACAGGACAACAATTTAGAATTTGGAGAGAGACAAATCAACCTGAACCTTAGTTTACTCTAAAAGTTTCTGCCTACAATCCAGGAGATCCAGATATCTGAAGGCTGCAAAAGTTATCCTATTAGATTATTGTATGAATTTAACAGAACTGTATCTATAGCCACTTCTCATTTTCAGTGTATTCCAATTTTTTAAATATACAGGGGACACTTTTCTGGATTCAAAACTGGTGACAAATTTCTCTCTTACACAAAAAGGGGGGAGGGAGGGGTTAATGCATACGCACGTGTGTGTATTATATCTGTGGTTAAAATGCTGAAATATACTGTTAAAAATGACACCAAATACACCTTCCTTTAAGCAAAGAATTAGTCTCTATACCATGGTCCACACCTTTTTTAGCTTTAAGGCATCCATCCATAAATTTCCCTGAATTACATGGTACCCTAGTTGAAAAGCCACTTGGATCTAAATTCAGAGAAGATATGGAGGGGGCCCTGAGGCTGAAAAGTTAAAGAATCACCAGTCTAACCGAGGCCACTTAAAGGTTGCTATCACCAGAAGCACGAGGGAGTGGAGGGGGATGAACCAGGCTACAAAGCACAGCTCCATATGTGCATCCACCTGCTTGCAGCAAACACACTGTTGGCAGCATGGGGTACAGGCAAGCAGCACAGAAGCTGCCTGGGGGGCAGGGGATGGCAGTAACAGTGGTGATGACGAATCTCCAAAGAAGCAGTTGCAAGTGCCAGCGGCATAAGCTGGAGCAGTGCAGGGTACTGGATTGGGGAGGAGAGCATTTACCTCACACAGAGGGCTCTCAGGCACACCACATTTGCTCTCTAGTGAGCCATGGCACAATCTCTGCGAATCACTGCTCTACAATGAGCACATTTGTTAGGGGTGCGAAACAGGCCATATTCAATTCAGATTTGGCCCAAATCGGGGACAGTGATTTGATTCATTGATTCAGATCACTGTTCCTGATTTGATTCGGCCGAATCCGAAGATTTGATGCCGATTCAGAGAATCAATGATTTGGACACAGAGCTTTAAATGTTTTGTTTTTTTTCTACATACCTCAAGGTACCAGGTGCGACTCGTGAATGCTGCAATGGTGGAGCGGATGGAGTGTCCCACAGGAGCGCGCAGGTGGGCCCACGTGTGCTCGGTGGCGAACCCAGAAGTGGACCGGAAGTACTTGTAGTCCACTTCTGGGTCTGCAGCCAAGCATGCTGGGGGGGGCTCCCCTGCACCCCTCCAGACCCAGGAGGCACCAGTCACCGTGCCAGGAGGGCCTCCCAGTGGACCCAGAAGTGGACTGGAAGTGTTTGTGGTCCACTTCTGGGTCTGCTGCTGAGCGTGTCGAGGACCCCCGCATGGTCCCGTGGGATGCTCCATCTGCCCCAGAATCGCAGCATTCATGAGCCGCCTACTACCTTGAAGTACGTAGAAAAAACATTTAAAGTTGTGTCTATCTGAATCATCAAATCTTTCTGAATCAATTCAGAGAGATTAAAGTCTCCCCATTTGATTCGGATTCAGAGATTAGGCCACTGAATCGGGCCGAATCTCCACTGAATCGAATCAGTGGCTGAAGCTTCACACAGCCCTAATATCTGTGAAGCCACATCTTTGGCCATTTCAAAATACCAGAGTTCACCGTGTGCGTGCGAAAAAAAAAAAAGTTACAGCACAACTTGGCCCAACACTCAAGTCATTTGTGATTTATTCCACCTGCTTCCCCCACCAATTATCCAGCCAGAGGAATGGGATGGTTCTTCCTTCAACTGGAAGGACTCTTCAGCCCCTCTTGCCATCCATGAGATAATGAAGGCATCCAGCACTACCTTTACAAAAAGCAGGACCTCTCTCTCACCCCCTACCACTTTTTCAAGTCCACATCTTGGGAAAGAAGTATCTTGGTGCTCAGATGTTGAGAGAACCCTTTCACATGCTGTTAAAGTATTTCATACACCCTCCTGCATTCCCCTTAGATATTTTCTAGCACTACTTTAGAGATCAGGCGTAATATGCCATTTTGGTTTTGTCAGTCAGAGAAGCAGAGCAGTTATAACAGTGTTGGAGCTGTTCTAGCTAGGCCAGTATGCAAAACCTACCCTAATAAATTTTAGCAAGTTGGATATTTAAAAGCCAAACCCCAAAACTACAATAACAAACCCATTATTTAAACAGGCTCTTCTAGCATACAATGTGTGAACTAGAACTGCTGCTGTGATCCATGTGCCAAGAATTACTTACTAACTATGTGTGCTGTAGTTTGAAAAGCCAACTCCACGATATTTCCATCATGGTCTGAAGCCGCTTGGTGAAATACTGCAAAGATATTCTTCCAGCCTGAGCGAATGTTCCCAGCCTGCGAGTTGACCATCTGAGCAATGCAGCGTATTACCATGTCACGAATAGTTGGAGATCTTAAAAAAAAAAAAAAAAAAAAAGAATGAACCACCACGTCAAGTGCCATTCCCTATTTGCCACAGAGAATCTAAACAGTCGCATTAAGATGCTTAAAAGTAAGCAAGGCCAAAAAGTAAGCAAAAGCAGAAATTTTAATACACGCACACCTGTTTTTCTTCATAATATGCTCAAAAGGCCTCAAAAAGTCCTTCTGGAAACGGAAGTTGGCCAACTCTCCCTTCTCAAGGAACTTCATTGACAGCTGCCTTAATGAGTCAACTGCAAAGATGGCCACATCTTCATTAGGGTTGCAGCCAACCTAGTAAGGGAAAAAAAGTGTGTCTATGTATGCCAATATACATTAAAAAAAGTCAACTCTTCAATAAACTGTTTCAGACCAACAGTTAATTGAAGAATGCTAGCACAGTGCTTCCATGCTTCATCCTTTAGGTAACTAGACTGTCTACAAACAGACAATGCCATGCAAAAACACAGAAATTTGTAAACTGGTGGTTTAAAGGAATGAGTAGTATACCACCACCAGACTAGGACATGGAAAAAATTTGGGTTAGAGAATTAGCAAACTGTTCAAGTTTGCAAACACTCAGTTTACACCTGCAAAGAGAATTCATTACATTATTTCTAACAATGGATCTAAGGAATTAAGAATCTTTTTCCTTCTCTTTGATTACATACTCCATAATGTACTCTGATTGTAGATTTAGTTATGATACAAATTGAGATATTCATGACTTCTTCAGTTCATGCAGAGTATTTAAAAGCATTAACTCAATCCATGTTGACCCATACATCCCCAAACCCATGACACTTGAATCATAAGAACCCTTTAAAGCCATGATGCACAATATTGGCCAAGAATTTCTCCTTAAACATTATTCCACCTGAACTCAAGTGGCATTGTAAGATTATATTCTGTAATCTTTAAGGTTTAAGTACCTTATTGAAATGATCTCCGATCACTTGCCATATCCTTGACCACTGCAGCCTAATGCGATTCATGTTGTAATATGAAATCTCCACTATCTTTTGTAGACTGAACATGCGTGGGTGGTGGGGGGAAGCCAGCTCATCCATGGAAACAGCACACAACCATCGGACAAAGTCAACTGAATGTTAAACAGATATTATAGGCCGTGAGTTTGGGATGGTTTCCCCTGCAATGGTCCTTTTCACCATATGTTCAGTATACATACCTATTGCATTGCCATCCAGCCTGGTTGATCCTGTAAATATTCTGTGGAACAAAATTGAAGATGTGGTTAACATGTTAAGTAGTATTGAAAAGAGGTAACTCATTTGTCCTACAGAAGCTAAGCTGCTTCCCTCCATGGCATCCCACAAGCCCCATGCATGCTACTCTCTCACCCTCTCCTCTATTTCATGAGCTTTCTTCAACCCCCTGCACTACCACCTTCCCACCATGGCAAGAACTTGTATGTACCTCTCCCAGCCTGGAGCTTTTTGAGCATCCTCATCTACCAAGCCAGGGTATGCCATTATTCTCATGCCCCAAAATGCACATTAGAAGGATGCGTGCAGGCCTGCACTGCCTCAATAACTATTTTGCCAAAAAATACATCAATCATTCAGGGTGTTTCCATGTTAAAAACTCTACTAAGAGGCTGAGCCGTGGGGGTGGGGCGGGGGGCAGGAGCGGATGGGAAAGTGTTGCACTAGAAGGCATTAAAATGGGTGCCACTTGATACCTCGTCAGGCTACAACAGTGCTAGAAGCTCTAGCTGCACTAACCGCAGGGCAAGAGCTCTGTGGGCTGGGGGTTGAGCATCTCTAGTATAGTAAAATAAAGATACTGACACATGTCCAATAACTAGGGATTTCGGAGAACCCAACTTGGATCTGTGACCCAGCAGAGGCAAAAAAAGGTGTAAATTTAGAGTAGCGGATAGCAACCAAACATAACAGGACATGCTTTATTGTAGCAGACAGCCAATACAAAAGTAATTTATGTGCTTTTTAAATTGGTTCTTGTGCGCTATACAACACAATACCTCCAATTTATTTTGCAGCAGTAAAGGACTGAAGAACAGAATATGCATATGATATTCCCACCCTCAAAGTCCATTTGAATTTATGCAAAATAATCCCTCTGGTTATCCAGCAATCAGTGTCAATAACCAACTAGTTCACTGGAAAACATGTTTCTCTCTGGGATTGAAATAATGTACTCAAATAGATCCATGAGATTTGGCAAGATTCTTATAATGGTTTTAAACTTCAAAAGCTGAAAACCCAGTCAGAGTCAACAGGTTTTTTATTTGTTTGTTTTTAAAAACAAACATCAGGACAGCTTGGGAAACTCGATGTGCACATGATCCTGTTACAGGAGTTAATGACAATACCTGTCCACTGCCACCACCACACTTTGTGAGCTAGTCTCTCCTACAGATTCTTGAATGCTGGCCATTTGCCTTTTATCAACTCCACCACCAACAAGGTTACCTGGAAAAAGAATATTCAGAGACAAATGACATCATATGGATTCCTAACTATCAATAGTGTGTTCAGTTTTACACAAGAAGCGGCGATAAACAGCTGCTGCTCCCAAGTCATTTCCAAAATTCATACAGGACAAGTGATATTAATAATATTTAAAACCCAATCTCAAAACAGTATTTCTTGACTGTCCATATATTTGATTCCAGAAGATTAGCTTCAAGTTAACAGTAAAATAAAGTTATGAGCACATGAACATGCATTCATTTGTTCATTCGAAAGGGAGAGATGTTGTTTCAAATGAAACAGGTTTTGCATCATAGGACTGCTTGAAAATTAATCATCTTCAGTAGTTTTCAATTGATGAAACAGAAAAAGAAAAAAAAAGAGCAAGAAAGGAAAGAAAAAACAAAAAGGGAAAAAAAAATCTGTGACAGCTGTTCCTATAACCCAAAGGTTCCCAACCACCAGGTTGGTTACGGGGTCATGGCATGAACCTGTGCTCAGAGCCCCATCTGTCAGCCCGGACAAGCAGCTTCCAGGGTCACAGCTAAACTTCTGGGGTTACCACTGGATGGTGGGGGAGCCCCAGGAGGAAGGCAGCTGGCTCCGCATGCCCTGTCCCGCTCCCACCAGGCCGTGGTAAAAGACAAAAGAAAAAGTTTGGGAACCACTGCTATAGCCTATAAACAAGTGCATGAACTTTAATTAATTATCTATAGTGGAACCAGAGGGTGTCTCTACACAAGCTTTGGGATGGAGGGTGCATGGGGAAGGAGAAATAGCACACACCTTAGTTAGAGCGGCTCCCCAGGAGTTGCCCTAATTAAAGCACCCACAGCATCCCATGCTTCAAAATCTTGATTGGGGCACTTTAACTAAAGCTTTTTTGACGAGCTTTAGTTAAAGCGCCCTCCGCCACCATTTTGAAGTGCGGGGACACTGAATACACATGATGTGGAGGATGCTGGAGCATGTTAATTGGCACACTCCAGTAGACTCAATTAATCAAGTCTGCGCCGTGTGCCAATTAGCACACACTGGAACAGATGTCCAGTATGTGTATAGGTGCCTAGAGATATTACCCTGATTACCTGCAGCTTAGTTACCCAAATATGCCAGTGTAGTTACTGCTTCTGTTAAAACACTCTGCTATTTCTATATTAAATCTTTTCTATGAAGAAACTTTTCTCTCCCTATAGTTCTCTGTGCATGAACCCCATTTTGTGGAATATAAAATACAGACTAGGATGGATGATGGAAGTATCTAGAATGAAATTTGCAAATGCCTGTATTCTAAACAGAAGTTTCTAGGTGCCATCAAAAGTTTAGTACATAAAGGTTTTAAATCATTACAATATTTTTATTTCTAAACAAAGGAAAAAAAGTAAACTAACACTGGTAACAAAACTATATCATACTATATCTGAAAGAGTCATAACCACATTCTCAAAATTTTCTACAGGCAATTACATTTAGGAATTTTATAAAAGTAACTTCGTAGAACCAATTTAAAACAGCTGGAACATACTTAGGTAATCATTACTGGAGTAGCTGAAGCAGTGGGGTCCTTTTATTCATCACATAGTAAAACTATTCTCCACAGCTAGTTCATAGTTATCTGCTTCAAACATTTCATAGGAATTTATCATCTGTCATGTTAAGTGTTTAGATTTAATTTACTTGTAAATGCAAGCTTGTAAAGTGTCAGAGATTAATCTTACCTAGTCCCAGGCTCATGAATTCTTCACTCCCAGATGTATAGCTTTTAATGCTGCCTTCTCTTTCACGCCCAGAGCCAGATAAGTATCGTGTTTTAACCCCAGTTCCTATAAGTTGCGCTAGTTCCAACTGGCTGATGCATTTCAAGATCTAAAAAGCATACATCAACAACATGAGTACCTATGACCATCTTTTACTATGAATTTTACAGGTCAAATTATTTTACTAATATTAAGTCTCAATACCTCTGTGATGTAGACAAATGTTATTGCAAATACAGTTATTCTAAATGACCAAGATCACAATGACTCCGTGACAACTGTGAAATCAGAAGCTAGAAATCTAAACCCTGGTTCTCTAGCTGCTAAACCAAGCTTAATATGTAAACAATTGTGGTTATTATTCTCCAGTAGATTTCCTTTCCCTTAGGGGTAAGTGGGTGGGCTCCCATTACTTAAAAATTGCAGCTGGATTTGGGGAATCTTAGGCCTCTTGCTACATGTTGCATATGCATTACACAACTAACTGGTTACCTGTGCAATAAATTAGACTAGTCACATGTGCAAGGTAACTATCACACAATAAATAACTATCCAGCTATAAAAAGAGCAAACCAGCCTTAAAGAGTTAATGCTTGAAAACATGTAACAACTCTATAGCTGGTTTCTATCCAGCTATAACTTGAACATGTAGTAAGGCCCTTAAAAGGCAGATCCAGAGAGACAAAGGACAATGTCATTCCCACAGTGGAGTGCTCATTAGCAATGCTGAGTAGACAAGCCTGCTCTGTAGATGGAAACAAAGTGGTAAGGATGTTAGGAACATCCCTTGGACTGTTCAGACCCACTTGCCCAGAACCCAGGGCTTTAGGGTGGTGCCAGGGCACCCAAAACCATCCTCACTGCCTCATTTTAAAAGTTTATTTTACAAGGAACAGGACCTACTGGGTAGAGTTTATTGCCTCAACAGCACGAGCTTGCACTCTTGTTACCCTGCAAGCTGGTTAAGCCTCTGTGTTGTCATTAAAGCTGAAACCTAGCCTCTCTGTTGCATGTTAAGCTGAAACAAAAATCTGAAGTAAGGTCCAGCAAGATTCCTATCAGTCTCCTCCTAATCAGCAAAGACTTGTGGGGGGGAAATCTTATCTAATCAGTTGAGAAAGCATGAAATTGCAGTAGTCTTGCTTTCAGATTAAATTAAGTTTAATCCTGCCAGTTTTCCCATTCTCCCTGGAAATTTCTGCACTGACAAAGGAAGCTGCCTTGTAGGAGTTGCCAAAGTGTGAGAAGGAAGACTTGAGGATTATATACCAAGAGTATTTTTTTTTAATATATGTTTGATAAACTCAGTGGTTCAGAAGTTGGCTTCTCTCTCAAAATTTAATGACAGCTTAACACCCATAAAGGAGAAGAGCATTTTTAACAATCTTGACACACCTCAGGACTGGCCTCCCAGATCCCATTTTAAGAGCCTTCACAATTCTAAAGGTTAGAAACATCTGTCAGACACTGCAGATTCGGATACCAGTGTGTACTTCTGTAAGAGGGGGGATTTAATCTGTAAAGCTTCCCAGGGCTGCAGCTGTGAATCCTCTAGATTGTACAAACAGCAGACAGAGCTAAATGAACAAAATGTTGAGGCTATTGATGCACATCAAGTCTTCAAGTGCTCTAGCTATCCAAGCATTTACCTCATGCCAGGAATTCCCAAGGTAGTTGCCATCTGTATGAGCCACTGTAATAAGTGTTTTAATGGTGTCTATGTTTTTTTGTTTCATTTCTGTAATGCTGGAACTGGCAGTCAACAGTGAAAAGCGAGCAAGGGCCTGTACATAAGCATCTCGTTCAAGCTAGAATACAGAAATGAGAAAAGTCAAGTCTGCAAGCACAGAAGAAAAAGCCATGCTGGGTTGCACAAAACCCTCCTGACACCCCTATTTTGACCATGTTCCTGCCCTCCCCACCACCCCCCTCTCTCAGTTTTGCAATTACAGTAGAGTATTTCCTGGCAGTCTTGAATCGAGTTGGGTACCCACAGTTGTCCTTAGGTGACCCACAAAAGCACGTCGGGTTCAGATTGGAATGTGAACTAGTTCACATTTTACAGTTGGGGGGGGGGGGGGTCAGAAAAAAAATTTCGGGTTAGAATCAGGTCAGAATAAGCCTCACTGACATATGTGACCCCCCTCCCCCGCTTAAACCTCCCCCCCAGCACTTTAACGTCAGTGTGCCCCCACACCAACTCTAACGCATAACCAGAAGAGGCATCACGTCAGTTGGATCTGGCTTGTTCAATGTCTGCATGGATCGGGTGCTTCAGTGGGGCTTTTATCTAATACAGAGGTAAGCAACGTTTTTGGGCCAAGTGCCAAAAAACCCCAGCAACCTGGACTTTGAAGATGCTGGCATGCTGGACAGTAGGGGAGCAGCAAAGGACCCAATGCTTGTTGTGGCAGCACATCCCTGGCCTCTTCCCTGCTGTCCACCCCAAGGCGTATGTGCAGCCGCTGCTAGCAACTAACAGGTCTGGGGCTCTGACCACAGCACAGCTGCCTGCTGTGAGCAACCTGGGCTCTAGCCAAGCCCCTGCAAGTGGCTGCACCAAGATCTAGAACCCCAGCCTCACTTACTGCTGGCAGCAGCTGCAGCCACATCTCTGGAAACACGGCAGGGAAGGGGACAGGACACGGGGTCGGGGGTGGGGCAGCCCAGCCCCTTCCTTGCTGCAGACTGGGCACTGGACACACGTAGGGACCTGGCTTGCTGGAGCTTTGGCACAGGAGGAGGGCCCCCCCTCTAGGACTGCCTGGGGCAGCTGCCCCCACGACAACACCCCATCCGCGAGCGCCTTCCCCCAGCCCTGTGATCAGGCCAAATTCTGCCCTTTCATCCCCAAAGCATGCACAGCAATGAGTCGGCTGGGACTCCAGACCACAGTGCAGCTGCTTCTAGGCTCTTGGCTGCCTGTCACATCCAGCTGGGCTCTGGGCAGCTGCTGCCTGCCACAGAGCCCAGGCTGCTTACAGCAAGGCTTGCAGCCTTTCTGCCGCCTGCTGCAAGCAGCCTAGGCTCTGTGGCTGGCAGCAGCTGCCCAAAACCCATCCAGATGCGGCATGCTGAGCACAATGGCTTTGCATGCCACGCTCTGGCACACCTGGTGAGTGTTGCCGACCCCTGATCTAGTAGCCAATTGAATCAGCTTTAGCTACAAGCACCAAAAAGCCCAGCTGAAGCACCCATCTATACAGACACTATGGAGCTGGGTTGAACTAATGCACTGCCTCTTCCAATAAAGTGTGGTTTGATTTTTTTCCATGTTTGGTCAGCAGCTTGAGCAGAATGATTAGAAAATGTGTCTGGGTCAGGCTGTACACGTTTGCTTTAAAGTACATTGCCTTGGTGCATGAGTACAATGATGTTGCTAATGCACGCTGCAGGTTTGGGTCCAGATCTGTAATATCAGGTGCGGGTCAGAAATGGGCCTTTAATATGAGACCTGTGCAGGTCTCTATTCCCTGGTCATCAAGGAAGAACTGGAGACAAGCTAGCAAGTGACCTTAATGGATACCCCATCAATGGGGGTCATCTGATAGTTAAGAATAAAAAGAAACATATTTTATAATATTCACACTTCAAGACTGTATCAAAATGAAAAAAAAAAAATCTTTCTGGTGACAAAACATTCCAGTCAACAAGTCATTTTTTCATTTAAACTTGCTTGAGGTGACTAGTGGAAAATACACGTCATCCCCTTCTATACTATATAAAGCTGTGAGATAACACCATTTTATAATCAGTTTTAAAATTCCTTTTTCTTCCGGCGTCATATTAGTTTCTAGAGATCTACACAGATCAGATCCACTATATACAAACCTGCATGCCAAAAATGCAGGCTATTCTGATTGCACATCGTATTCCTTCCAAACAGAGAGATGCAACTTCTGTGTCATCGCAGTTCTGAAGACCAACGCTATAAGCTGCCAATAATGGAGTCCACACAAGCTAGATAAAAAAAACAAGCCTTTGTAAATTTAGTTTTCGTTGCTGACTAACCAATTCTTCCAAAAGCAGTTACTAATTTGGAGGCAACTAGTGCCAACCAGGTATGTAACTTTTTACATAAGCTCTTCTCAGTATCATTTGCTATTTTCCTTTAGCCCTATATATTGGCATTGCCCTGAAAAAAGGTCCATTTCCCCGCTCCAAAGCTCCTAGTTCTTTTCTTTGTATCCGTGAGTCTGACTCATATGACAGCATGCAACACCCCAGCCAAATAATCAGAAAAAGATACACTGCACCTTTCAGTGAGAGTCCCAACACCTGTTAATTACACATTTCGAATTCAAGAAAATCTTTTGCCCTACCAAAAGGTGCACAGAGAATTCCATACACTCACTTTGAACATGGGCCGGACATGCTCCAGGTGAGTGGCACTTGTAAAAGGCGACTTGGCGTGGCTTACTGCCTCCATGAGGGCTTTAGCTGTTTTAGCCATTTGCTCCATCTCCAGGTTGTACAATAACCGTCGCTGCTTCTCATTGGCTACATCTAAGGAGAACATGACACAATAGATAAAATTATTCTGTCAAACTCCTGACTTAAGCTATCACAGATGTCGAGTGAAGACCGTTGATAAACAACAGCTTACGAAAACTTTTTCGGATACGTTAATATTTTACTCAAGAATTTTTCCATGAGTCTCCAGAACAAGGCAAAGCCTTGCCTAATGCAGAAATTCACCCACTAGATGATACAAGACAGTTATACAGTTCTTCCCTTAACATGCCTTGTGCTCCACATTTTCTATGAAATGGACTTTTCATTCCATCCAGGAAGAGCATACACCAACTGCTGAAACTTCCTTAGCCTGACAAAGGGTTTTTGAACCCGAAAGCTTGCTTAATAACTACTCTCCAACTATTTGGGTTGGTCTAATAAAAGATATCAGATTCACCCAAGGAACCTTGTCTGCCTGGTCTTTAATTATGCTTTTATAACCTAGTCACATTTTATTTAAATATTCATTTAGTTACTATGAACATGATTATCAGTTTCTGCTCCAAGGTCTACCAACAGATCCTGCTATTAAAATCACTGGTTACTTCTTGTGTCACTATAATTCCTCAGCTGGGGACTTTAGTCACTTGTTAAGCTAGAAAACCATTACCTGAATAGGGAACCTCCAGGGAACACCTACCTACTGAAGGAAGTGGATGCTGGAGGTTCAGTGCCTGGCCCTTTTCTTTCAGAGCGAGTACTAAACTAACATCCAGTTTGTTATTCAGAGCATAGTACACCTGAAGTTCTCACCTATTCTAGGCAAGAGAAGGTCACTCTGCAAACATGATTTAATCACCTCCAACCTCTATTTTCACCATATCAATTGAGACAAGCTCTTTCAGGCAAGCAGTAAGACTCTGAACTGTCAAGTGACACTGGGAAGCAGGGTACAATATGCAATAGTCACATACTATTTCAAGGAGAACTGCTAGCTATTTCCTCTAGGCCAACTGCCAACTTATATTCCTGCATTTTAACACCCCTCTGATTCTCAAAATAGTAACATTAATCTTCATTGCTTTATCTTAACTGTTGCTTGGTGCTGGCTTCTTATAAGCACCTGCTGTGTTTTTCACCTTCTGAATTGACCTTATTTTAGCAGTGGCTGAAGTGTCCCCCAGATGCTGCTTATGTACCGTAGAAGTGTTAGCAAAGCTGAATTAGAGCATGCTAATTATTGAATGACAGTCATTAGAAGAAGCTCAGAACTTTATATTCGAGCGTCCAATGAAATCTTACTTGGCTTACTCTTGGTAGAAACTGCATACTCCTTTGTATCTTTCATTGCAATTTTCTTTCCCTCTATTTCCTCATAAATGGTGGACAGATATTCCTCTGGCAGGTCTTTACTATCATTGATTCCGCGATTCATTTTAATATATTGCTCTTTTGTCATTTTATTCTTTACCTGTCAAGAGGATGAAATGCAGATGTCAGATTTTAAATGCAAGATCAAGAGCCCAAGCACCAGCTATGTAAGTAGTTTTTTCCTACCTGAGGACTGTGCAAGTCCGTTGTCAGCATTATAATAGAATATGCTAAAACATAGGCGGTGTCAGCACTAGCAAACAAGGTTTGCCTAAAACCACAAAAAAACAAAACACACAAAATCAGATTTTAGAGCCCATCTCAACTGGATCATTCATTCCATTTGCATACGCAGGAAAGATGTACACTCTTAAAAGGGGTGTGCGGGGGTGGGGGGAATCCAACAAGGAATCTATCACTTTAGTCTCCAATATTAAAATTATTAACACTAAAAATAGGGCCAGCTCCTACTTATCTACTGAAAGTTACAACAAAGCCAATACATTGGAGAGAGCTTTAAAAAAAAAAAAAAAAAAAAAAAGTAAGTCACATTAAGAAAGGCTTTTAAAAAAATATATGCATTACTATCCTTCCTAGGTTTCTGCATTCACAAGCACTTAAAGTAGTGAATAATCATATTTCTGTATGACACACAAGGTTTTCAAAATTATTTCTAGAAGAACAGACACTATAATACCAATCTGTGGGGCAGGAGGAGAGGCGCAACACTAACATCTAGCCTTAAATCAGTGCCAACGTATTGAAGCAAGTTATATTACTCAGAAGTTTAGAGTGAAATGGTCTATATCAAAGTGGCAAGTATACACATGTCTGGTGAGTGGCAGAAGGCAAGTAAAAAAATGCTTCATTGCACAGACATATAAGTTACTTCACAAGTCACATTTTTAATGCTCCTATTAATTTTTTCTTAAGTAATGCTGATCAAATTTTGGTCCTGCACCTGATCAGTTGAAAGTTGATAAACAGGATATATAGCACTTAAGGTATTCAGGGGTTGCTGATCAATTACTACCCAGATACATATCAGAAAACTTCCTCTGAAATGCCCATACTGTCAAGACTTCACAGTAATTTAGAAAATGTCTCATGGGAAACTCTCAGAAGTCAAGTTTTCCTAGTTAACCACGGGTTAGGTCATCATGGTAGTAACAGCAAAAAACCTCCCCAAAAAATAAAAACCCCCCCCCCCCCCCAAAAAAACCCAACAACAAAATAAAACGTAAAACCTATCCCTAGGGTCCTGCCAACATGCCTTACAAGTGGGAGGGAATCGGCCATTAGCTACAGACTGCCAGCAAGATTGCCATTCATAAAGTATTTATCCAATATTATACACTGAATTACCGTTGGTTGCATTCAATGTATCTAGCTGCAAACTTCTCCATTAGTCTATCAATCTTCTGGGCTTCACCTGGCAATCGGAAACCTTCCAGAAATATCCGTAGAGCAGAGACAAAGTCTTTCCCACAGAAATCAAGCTGGTCTACATAGGCGTACATCACCTCCTTGTTAAACTTGTTATTCTCCCCTAGAAATTCACCCACTTGAGTCTAAACACACAAAAAGAGTTATGAATATTCTACGCCAAACTAATTTTAGCACCTTATTTATGCTGCAGTAAGTTATTGGTATAACCGTTATAGTCAGTTTTATAAACTGTTTAGGCTGCTCACTGCAGGCAGTGCCACTGCTGAACATGGAAGGTTCTAAGTACAGTATTCTGCATGGTCAGTCACTCCATTTATTAGCACCACCTTTAGAAACCAATGCCACTGAGCTACTGGCTCAAATTAGAAGCATTCAATGAGTCAGTAGGATGGAGGAGTGGCAACAACGTGGGGAAGAGAAAAGGAAAGAGGGGGGTTTTACTCCACTAGTACAAAACACGTTGCTTTGCTGTTATAGCCCCATCCACACTAGCAGAATTTGCTTGTACAGTATAATGATGTTCCTATACCAGTAAAAGTGCACAGTCAGCATAGTTATAGCCACAGCATTAAGAGGCACCAGGAAAATCCCATCCCAAAAGAAGAGTGCTACAAAACTGGAGGGAGTGTATAAAACAGGAGAGTGATGTCAGGGTAGAAGAATAAAAAAGGGCAAAGAAAGAAAGGAATATGAAGAAGAGCAGCCTGAGCTGCTTGGAGGCATAGGCATAAAGTTTTGTCAAGAACAACATTAACCAATTTATTTTACATGACATTCAATCTTACAAAACACAGGCGTTCTTCTTGATGGAGAAATTGTGCAATTTCCTCTGTTGTAGTGCCAAGCATTCCCTGTTCCTGCAGGTATTGTATTCCTCTCTTTGGCTTTTTATTAAATCTATTCACATAGGCACAATATAGAAAAAAAGAAGCAAAGCTGTAGTCTAAATTTAGTTATCATTTCTCAAAATATAAATGGTTCACAGTTAAAGAAAAAGAAAGGAAAATATATTTTTAAAAAATCCAAAAGGTAACAATTAATTATGTCACTCTAGAGATCCCACCAAGTATATTTCAAGTCAGCAATACTGAAAGGGTCATTGTCCTGACAATCAAGATTTTACTAAAAAGAAAACCTGTCTTGTCCAAATGCTAGCATAAGTAGTGCATGCATTAAAAAAATAAAAAGGATTTTGCGTTTAGCTGACAACACAAAGTAAACATGAATGGCAGAATCGTTTGTCTATAGACTGAAAGTCACGTCTTTATGCCAAAAGCTCTTCTCCTTTGTGACAGAATCAGCCCAAAGAAGAGAAACCATAAAAAGGCAATGATGGCACATGCTTCTAGTTACAGTAATCTCAGGCATTAGCTTCAACAGCTAGTAAAAAAAGTTGTCACTTGAAGCTGTAAATGCGGCACATGTATTTCCTATAACATACAGTAACAGTAAAGATTTATCCAACAGACATTCAAATTTTCTTGACACAGCCAAACTTACAATTCTATCCCATGTTCAATTATCTCCTTCTGTTGCTTGATGACTTCAAATTGCTCAGGATCATCTGGGACAGAAGTCTGGGTGCCAACACTTCCAATGCCCGATGACACTGTTGACTCTAAGGAACTTACACTGCTCCTTCTGCCTCCACTTTCCAGACATTTTCCTTCACCCATTTCCTGCTCTGAAGGTTTATCTGAACCTGAGAGTAGACAAAGAGCATGAAAGATCTGATAAAAGCAATTAGCTTATTTCACATGACTGTGTGAGTGTCCAAAAAACCCACAAAAACATTTCTCTGCTGAGGGCTATGATTTAAGGCAATAAGTCTCAAATCAGGGTGCTACACTGCCTTGAGATCCTTTCTTGGGTCCCATGGGGTAACACAGCATTGGCACTGTTAAGTATACCAACATTATTCACAAGATAAACCCAGAGATTGACCTGTTGTGGGCTCTGAGTTCTCTGTAACAAGAGAATTGCTTTATTTCATTTCTATAGTCAAAAGAAGTGAAAACTAAGAGCTGGTATTTTCCAAGGATGCCTTAAGATTAAAAAAGGTTGAGAACCACTGGTTTAAGGGAATGGAAATCTCCAGATGAAATACATGGAAACCAGGTGTTAGCACAAGCTTTTAAAAGGAATTAACAGGAAGTTAATGGCAGGAAAAACAAAGCAATCCTTCTCCCCCAATCTGTTTTTCAGATCAGAGGGACTTCTTTCTGGATTGTGTGATTGGTCATTCAAGGAGTCTTCAGGAGAAAAGATACTCCACAATTTGGAGAAGCCACCATGAGCTTAAAAAGGGGTTGGATCAAGCACTATCACATTTTCTTTGAAAAAGTAAAACTGAAAGCCAGAGTGCCCATGAGGTTGAAGCTTTGAAAAAGGTTATGCTCAAGTCCTGTGGAGTCAGAGAGAGCTGGCACTAATCTCAGGGGGTAGGTGTTTGGACCATGGAAGCCTCAGCACTCAGAAGGGGGAAGAGAAAACTTGCATCGCAAGTGCTTGTAGAAAGGCAGTCAGAGGCTATGCCTGTATTCAGCTCAGACTTAAAGCAAAGTACATGGATTCAGTGAAGCACTCAAAACACAGCAAGCTGGTGGCTGTTCAACAGGCACAGCCTAACTTGTGTTATAGATTTATACCATTTCCTGCTTAACTCAATACTTCTGTTTCTAAGAAAAATAATTTTCCCCCATTTATGCTTTTAATCCCTATGGGCTTGGTAGATGAGAAACTTCACTTTTCATAGAAATGCACAAGCCTTGAGACTCTTACAAGCTTCCACAAGTGCGATTTAAAAATACATCTGGAAAAGTCCATGCCCCAAGGAACCTAAAACTATGTTATTACTGGATCTAGCAGAAAGAGAGAAAAAAAGGAAGGAATGACCTTAGTTAGTTACAGGAAGAGACTGCATGCTTAAACCAAGTAACTGCAAGATCTTATTTCTATAACCATACTCTCCATTTTCCCATTCTCCTTGAAGTCTACCTGTACAAAATACTTCCTGTGAAACAGCAAGAAGTTTTTGTGAAAATTCAAGTACACATCACTGATCAGAGTGCTACATGCTAGACATATATTGGTGTAAAGTTAAAAAAAGAATCTCACCAAGACTGGCTTGATGGTTGGGATTCACATAAAGGTCTTTGCTCCATTCTACCATGCACTTTAAGATTGAAACCAAACATTCCAGACCTTTCTTCCGCAGACTTAGTTCCTATATTTAAAAGAAAGAGTCAATTGTACCCGACAGTTCCAGGTTAAGATATTAAAGGACTTAAGCGTTGCACAATGAAATACAAAGTACATCTAAAACAAAGAGCAAGACAACAGGTTAAAAAATTCCTACTCGTAAATAAGTCGCATCAAGAAAATCCTAGAAAACAAAACTCACGTAAAGAGTCTTAATAGTAGAAAGTTTTCACGACTTGGGTCTAAAGTCAGGTTTTGTTTTTTTAAGACTGCATAATCTCAAACTGACAACTGTGTTACCAAGCAACTGTTGGTCAAGTGGTAGTTTTAAGACTTTAGATGGAATACCAGAATAGCCTGATCCAATTTTATCATGAAGGCAGGAAAAACACTGCAAGGATATCAGAGCTCTTGGCCTAGGCTGGATTATGGGAATCCAGATAACAGACCCAGTTCTGGTTTCATAGTTTCATAGTTTCAGGGTCGGAAGGGACCTAATAGATCTTCTAGCCCGACCCCCCGCCAGGGCGGGAGAACAACCCAAAAACACAAACAAAACCACTCACCCTAAAAACAAAAACGGGACTCAAATGAGTCCAGCCAGGTAAGTATCCAGCCTCTTCTTAAAGATCCCCAGGGTAGGGGCCAGCACCACCTCCCTTGGAAGTTGGTTCCAGCTCCTAGCCGCCCTGACTGTGAAGTAGTTTTTTCGGATGTCCAATCTGTACCTCCTCTCCATCAACTTGTGCCCATTATTCCTTGTTATGCCAGCAGGGGCTAGGGGAAACAGCGTCTCCCCCAAACCCTTCTGGTTCCCCCTATGGTTGCTGTATCTAAAGTTTCTAACAGTACTTCTTAACTTTTACCTTGATTATATTACCAGCAAAAGGCTTACAAAACTCAGGTTACCTCCATCTTAAAAACAATCCAAGGAAACAAACCAAACTAAAGAAAACCCTACAAACAAACAAACAGACAGGCACATACATCCTAACTGCACTATGTTCTTTTGCCAATGCACACCCTGATCATTATTTTCATTCCTGACCCGAAGGGGGGAGTAAAAAGAGAGAAAAGGAGGTAAGTGTCACATATTGCTGATTTTACAACTGTGGCAGGGAGATGTGGTCATGTCCAGGATGAATACTGCCATTGAGTGGTCCCTATGGTTTACTTTCAGTAATCGGAAGAATACATGTGCTCTTACTGGAAAGCCATAGTTGTGCCCCATCATTCCTTTAAGGACTGGGAATGTGTTGTTTTAAAAGGGAGTGAGGGTGGGGGGGAAATCACCTTTGTGATGTAGAGGTACCGTAGTGATACCAAAGCCTTACATTTCAGTTAATGAAGGCTCTGTTAACCCAGGACGTTCCTGAGGGGAGCATGCAATAAAAAAAAAAAAAATCAGATGATGTCTCAGTCATGTGTGGTAAGCCTCACTTTACAGAAGCATTACATTTTCCATCCACATCCTAACAAAAGGACTGGCCAGAACATGTATATACTTGCACTATATTACTGGGCTTCTAGCCAGCTCAATTCATTAGGAAATGAAACAGGATTACTACCCTAATGACACAATACAATAGAAGTCAAATGACTAGCTGTGCTGCACTCTAAACCAGAAGAAGCACTAGTAAATGACAAAGTAAGCAGGTCTTAAAAAGGAAGAGTAGTGCTATATTGTCTTCAAGGCTCTCTCTTACCTGCAGAGGTGTCATTCCCAACTCTTGTCCACTCCGTCCCTGAGCAATTTTAGACAAGTCGTTTACAAGGCGCTCAAAAATATTAGCAGCATTTAAATCACAGTCATAGTTAACATAAATATCCACCACACACTGGGCATCTTTAAAAAAAAAACAAACCAAGAAAGCAAGATTAGTAGAATTCAATGTCATAATCTAATATGAAGCCACATACACACACAGATGACACTTCATTACAAAGTAATGGTCCCAGTCAGGTTTAAATATGTTTGCTATCTGTACAATTGTGCATCTCTATACAATTTTGAATAATTTCTTGATTAACAATATTCTAAATGAATGAGAAAGACGCTTAAAGAAAAAAGACGACACTTATTGCTACTACTAATCTACCATATTCACTTGCATATTGGACAAGGTCCCAATCCCCTGTCCCTCCCCCCAAGTCAGCATGGGGGTAAAAACCCTTCATCTTGTATTCACATACAAGAAAACCTCATTAAAATACACTGTCTCTATCATTAACCTGCTGCCAGAAGTAGCATGTGCTCAGTCGTGGAAAACAATTATGAAGCAGCCAACACTGAGTATGCCTATAAAAAACACATAGCCTATACTGGGCAAACATGCTGATGGGAACTTTTGTCCTTTTAAAAAAAACAAAACAACCCCCCACAGAAAACCAGCAGGTATTCTCTCCACAGAGAACTGGCACCAGGCCTGGAGGTAATGCAATACTATGCCAGCACTAGGAGGGCCAGGGCCAGGCCTGATGCCCTTCTCTTGGTGTCAAAAATGCTTGATCTTAGATAAAAGGCTGAGTTGTTGATTCCTACCACAAGAACAGGTCAGTGCAGCCCATCTGCATGTGATAATGCCTATTGCATACAGTCCTCCTCATCACCAATTCTTTTTCAACTGACAGTGAACCACTATTTGGCATACATTTCAACTTCCTCTTCACTCACAGCTGAGCAGTACCATTCTTTCCCATTTCATTGATTCCCATTTGGCAAACATCACCAAATGTCTATGTAGGCAAGAGGCTCTGTAGTCTCTCTCTCAGTCTGTCACGTGTGATTAGTGTGTCCCCACCCTCCATGAGGCAAAGTCAAATCAGGCAGCCTCCTGCCTCTTCTGCACATACGTCTGTGGAGGATCCCAGGACTTTGTGACAAGAACATTTGGTTCCAGTCATGAGCAGGGGCAAATTAGCAAATGGATACTTGGTGGGGGAAATCTGGAGCGTGCACACACACACTCCAAATTGAGCTTTTTGGCTTTGAACCAATATCATGCATAGTTTGTAGTATGTATAAGAATGTACAAAAGTGCTACTTAAAAATGTGTTTAAGGAATACCTGTACTAAAACCTGCAGCAGTTTGCAAAAAGGGTAGAATGCATCAATTCTGGATGAAGGCTATGGGTACCTGTAGTAATCTGCTTATGTGCAAATTAGTATTGGAATGTTTGGTTCAAAAGTCAGCATTTTCAAATTTGCCCCTCACTTTCATATGCTTAGAGAAAGCAGGGTCTGACAGAAGGGGACAGAGGAAAGAGGCTGCAGGAGGAGGATAGAGGATGGGGGGCAGGGAGCAGAGGGCCACCTCCCTGGGACATCCTCCACTTCACTGTCAAGTCAAAATAAATAATTCTACATCGTGAAGAACAGGCGTTTACTTTTACAATGAAATACCTGCACAAATTCTAGTCAAGGTTTGAATCACCATCCATTTGTGCTCAAAAGAACTCGAGGAGGTCTCCAATATATTCAGAAAGATCTCTTTGAAAAAAACCTGTGCAAAGAAAATGAGAACAGGACCTGAATGTTTCTACTGAAAAGCTTTACAACACAGCTAAATGAGCATATTCATTTTTTACATAGCAATTTTGCTTGGATACGAGGCTTCATCTCATGCATAAGTAATTTTATTTGAAAGCAGTAGGCCACCAGCTTGCATAGCAAGCAAAATTGTGAAGTGACAATTTTTAAAGTTATTATACGCTGCCTTTTATCAATAAGGTAAATTGGTTTAATTAATATAGAACATCTTGCATATAAAATGAACACAAAGCTCTCTTACCTCAATTTGCATTTTTAAATGGGTTTTAAAGTTTGAAAGCAGGGTGAGAAAAATGGCAAGAGACAGCTCAAATACATCAGGTACAGAAGAGACTCCATTTTTCGATAATGCTACACAGAGATATTGCTTGATTGCATTGATGAACATTTCATGTGTCCTGAAAACTGGACCAGCATTCTGTAATACTGAGAGAAGCAGCTGAAGGGACACAATTTTAGAACGCAACTCATGGGACCTGGGGACAAAAGCCCAAAAAAAGAGGGTTGTTAAAATTAAAGTCACGTTCATTATCTCTCTCATATATATGCATCCTTGCACATAGTACGTGGTAGCTACAGCAGTTCTTTGTGGACGCATGGAAGTGAGCATCGTCTTTGCCCATTTCAGAGAAGACAGCTTGCTTGCTGACACTGTCAGGCAAAGCTACATTTTTTATTTGGGAGTCTATCCTTTAGGAACAGAACATCTGAAACTCACAACTCAGTCAGTCACACTATCTGAACAGAGACATGGGGTTTGAATTACAGGAGGAGTACTGCCTTCTAAAGAACTTCAGAAATACTACTGCCAACACAACTTTGACTGACTGCAGAACTGGTGAGTCATTATTAAAGAGTTACTGAAGATTTCCTGGAGTATTGTGCATCAAACACTGGGAATTATCCAAGTAAGGATATTATACCACAGAGAAAATTCTCATTGCAACAACCGTGTAGATATCTGAAACAGGGAAGTAGCTCTGGATATCCAGGCTTGTACTATAAAGTAATATAGAATTCAATTCATTTTGTTCTCATCACAGCTTCCAGGAAGAAGTAAGATTCAATTAATAAGATGTCTTTACTTGGGATCTGGTGGTCCATCACCGAGGGGTTTCATTGAAAGCTTGCACAGTGACCGGAACACAAGGAAGGCATCTTTTTGCAGGATATGGGAGAATTTGGCAGCTGCTTGAGGTCCAGGTACATCTGTTTCCTAATGGATCAAGAACCATAAAATGAAACCTTCGGAACAGCTGAAAAAGGCAATACAAGTTACAGAGTACCTGTACAGCCCAGTTTAGTCACACTTTTTTTTTTTAAACCAAATTGACAAGAAAGCAACATTAGGATTATTTTTGCCTTATCTTTCCTCCCCAAAAGTAAAATATTACTAATACAATAATCATGAAAGCTATTTACCAAGTTATCTGTGGAGGAAACAGATTGTCTGTCATCTGGAATTCCGTTTGTTTGTACATTTTCATTGCTACAACCAGAATGGGCAAGATCCACAGCTTCTGATTCTGATGAGGCCCTGACTGTTTCAGCTACGTGCTTCTCCTCAGCCACTTAAAAAAAAAAAAAAGCCGCAGAAAAACAAGGTAAATACTTGCAATAATAAATTAGGTTCCATATCAATATCTGTGTGCAAGGAAGGAGCCCCCCAGGGGGCACTTGCCTGCCTGTACACTAATGCCAGGAGCTTGGGAAATAAGCAGGAGGAGCTCATCCTCCTGCTCAGTGCAAACAATTACGATGTCATAGGGATAACGGAGACCTGGTGGGACTCCACCCATGACTGGACCACGGGGATAGATGGCTATACCCTGTACAGGAGGGATCGTGTAGAGAAAAGGGGCGGGGGTGTAGCTCTCTATGTTAAGGAAAGCTACACGTCCCTGCAAGCCGATATTGGCGACCAGGGTGGATGGCTGGAGACCCTCTGGGTT